GGTAGAAAAGTTTTTTTCCTAAGTAGTGGTCAAACCCCAGGAAGGTTTTGCTCCCGCGCATCGCAATATTTTCTACACAGAGTTGAAGTCCCCCTTTTTGGTAAAAATTACTATTATTTTGCATTACATTCTGTTCTCCTTAGAAAAATTTGGCACTTAATATATTATTGGAAATTTAACTATTTATAAGCCATATAAACAGTGGGTCAAAAAGGCCCGTTGTGGTGGGAGTTGATGGGTTAAACTTTTGGAAAAAAGTAGGCCAACCTTATTTTCAATATATAACCCGCAAAAAATCGTAAGAACTCCGTAATTTAACATAACGGTTGAAAGCTTATTGCAAAACTTTATTGATAGCGACATAAATTACCCCAATAACTTAACCTTTAAATTTTTTTATTTCTTTAAATTGAAATAGTACATACGCATTTTTAGAGTACATAGAGATGTATGTATATTAGGGTGCCCATCGAAAATCGTTTTTTTGTACCTTAGTACTACATATTTTCAAATTGTGGAAATTATCGATGGTCAAAATTTAAAAAATTCATTGAAATTCAAGCAAAAATAGTCTCTCAAAAACTCATGAATCTAGAAAATCGTATTTTCTGACCTAAATCGACAGGCCGCGACCTCTAAATGGCCTTTAAAAAATCTATAAAAATAGGCAATAATATTTCTCATAAAAACGAATCAAATTAGGGGGTAGGGTCTTTAAATTTTCAAAAAAAATCATTTTCAATGGGAAACCTAATGTATGTATATACTATATAGACTTTCTTCTGTTCGCCCATCCATCAGCAGCAGTTACTCAACATTTGAATTCAATGAATGAATTAAATAGAATTATAGTCTGATGACATGATGAGATTAGAAGCCTCATGGCTCTTTGGACTCTACCTTATGGGCAGTAGCGCCGGCGTTACCAGACGCGCCGGCGTCGCCGCCGCCGCCGATTCTTTTTGAAGTTGAACACGCCGCCGCCGCAAAGCCTGTCGGCGTAAACCTCTATTAGGGACAGAATGATGGACAAAGGAAACACTATACATAAACTCCTCAAATGCGGCCATTGCCAGAGTAAACTCTTCCCAAACCTCGTCTTCTTTCTTTCGTTGATTTTCTGCAATGGAAGTGCAGGATCATGATTCAATATTATTATTATTATTTTCCTCTTCGCATCTGCTGCTGCGACAATATACCGGCGCGCTCACTTCAAACCCCAACGCAGTGACCTATAAAAAATAATAATTCTTGTGAGAACGGATACGTCATTTTGTTTTAACCGCATGCTTTTTTTTTGTCGTAAGATGTCCTAGCGGTTTCAAGTAACGAGAGATTTCCCCAGCCTTTGTTTGCTGCTTGTACTGTGCTGTTGCATTTAGTTTAATGGTGCCCATTTGCATGTCTACCGGATTGATGTGAGTAGTCTAATTTTCCTTTCGAGTTCGTTAAGTTTGCAGTTACCTTCAATAAATATGTCGTGGTCCAGGTATCCAATTGCTATACCATCTCGTTCAGAGATCTGCGACATTCAGTGATAGACTTGATTGTCCGAGAAAATGAAAACCTGTCTCTTCTCCTTAGATCTTTTTACTATGTGTTGAGTGACCTCCTAGATGGCCAGCGCCTCCGCCTCGTATACACTTCAGTGGTCCACTTTGGGTGGAAAAAACTCCTCCTCTGACCTTTACGTCTAGTTTGGAGCAATCAGCCTACATGTTTAGAGCGTGGAACAGTACTGTCGAGTTGATATGGTAATTTTGTAGTTTTTTTGTCAAGGTATCGGTATGGGTGCCATCGTCCCTAAGATTTTCGAGTGGTGAGACGTAACTTATACTTAACTCTCCGGTCCTTTTTACCCTTTGAAGTTGTTTAAGCGCTATTCATTTATTAAGGATAAGCCAACAGACTAAGGTTACGTAGAGCCAAACCGAGTAAATAATTTCCATCTAGATCCAGTGTACTATCCTTTTACAGGTTAAAAGTGCCATTGTGGCAGTTGACTAACTAGAATTACTTCAAGACACTTATTAGCAGGGAACGTATTTTATGGAAATTGCCTTTTTTTCTAATAAAGAGATAGAGTATATTCGATTAAGAATGTCCACGATTTAGCTTTCCCTGATTCCATATATACATATTTGATGTTGTCTTTTTTTGCCTTTTTTTAGATATTTGCCTTTTCTACCTTAAAAAAAAATTATTATAGCATTTGCAATTTTTTTTTTTTAAGATTTAAAAATATACACATGCCCATGCGGCCCCATGCGCAGGGACCTCTTGCCAAATTGGTGTTGGAAAAATTCAAAGCCGTTTTCTCAGCTAACGTAGGCTTGGAGACAATAGGGGGTGTGGATAAAATTGTAAAGGGCGAGGAAAACGTTATTCGTGATAATATGAACGTTTTAAACGTTCCATATTTAAATTGGGCTCCACTTGTATCAACTTACGTCGAGCTCACATTTAGTACATTCAAGGCTTTTCTTCGCGAAAATCGAATGAAAATGTTGCCAGAAAACTTCAAAATGCATCTTGTGGTTCAATGTTACTACAACTATACAGATTAAAGTTTTATGAGTTAGGAACTCGAAAGGATAAAATAATCAAAGATTCAAAGTACAAAGTTCATAGTTTTTCTCTTTTTACTTGTAATATAAACCTTTCTAAAATATATGTATTTTTTGATTGTTCTTCGTATTTTCTGTCTTTTTTAGTGCCTTATTTTGCTTTTTTTTTGCAATAGCTAGTGCCTTTTCCTGCCTTTTAGCTATTTTATTTTGCCCTTTTTTATAGGTTTTTAGGTCCTAAAAATCCGTTCCCTGCTTATTAGTATATTTAAACATTTAAAAATATACTTGACGAAATTAGAACCTCCTTGAAGACGATAAAAAAACCTGATGTTTCTTACAGAAAAGACAACGAAATAATCATTTTTAATGATTAAATTTCGCCAAAATTGTAATTTTTCCCCCATGGATTTTTTTTTTTGTTTTTGTGTGCACATGCAAATCAGCTGATCGTTTGACACTTTTCATGAACTCAGTGGAGAAAAAACTCCGGACTAAATCCTGTAACTTCTGACTAGGAACAGTTGTTCAGTTACTCTCTCAAAAGTGTTCCCACTTACAAGTTTTATGTCAATAGGAGCGACTTCCTGTAAGTTCTGACTAAATCCTGTAAACCGGACTGCTATTGGAACAGACTAAAAAACAAAAAGCGGTGTAAGCAAAGAACCTTATATTTGTAAAAATATGGAAGTAAACAACGAAATATTTGAATATGTATGGATTTTAATAATTAGTTAGTGATATTTCAGCCAAATCAGTGTTGTACCAATGACATGTAAACAAACCGTCTGACGTTTTTACAGGAAATAGTGATTTTTGCGTTCCCGTGCACTTCTGCATCTGTTCTCCTTTTACTCTCACTTGTAGTTTGACAGTTCCACAGGTTTTAGTCCAAAGTTCAAAGGAACAGACTAATAACTTCGAAAAAAATTCGATTCAGACATTTAGTCTGTTCCTTTGAACTTCGGACTGAAACCTGTGGAACTGTCAAACTACAATTTTACTCTCTCAACTGAGAGTAAAAGGAGAACAGATGCCGAAGTGCACGAGAACGCAAAAGGCACTATTTCATGTAAAAATGTCAGACGGTTTGTTTACATGTCATTGGTACTACACTTATTTGGCTGAAATATCACTAAATAATTATTAAAATCTATACATATTCAAATATTTCGCTGTTTACTTCCATTTTTTAACAAATATAAGGTTCTTTGCTTTCACCGCTTTCTGTTTTTGTTTGCACATGTAAATCAGCTGATCGTTTGACACGTTTCATGAACTTACAGGAAAAAAAAACTCCGGACTAAATCCTGTAACTTCTGACTAGGAACACTTGCTCAGTTACTCTCTCAAATGTGTTCCCACTTACAGGTTTTATGTCAATAGGAACGACTTCCTGTAAGTTCTGACTAAATCCTGTAAACCGGACTGCTATTGGAACAACTGCTATTCCAACAAAAATAGAAAACAAAATTTTATAAATTTTTTTATTTACAGGGGAAAAATATCCGTACCATTTTAATTGCCTCTTCCTTTCAGAAACCAGACCATAACACTTGCATTCTTTTTCATAACTCACTGCCATCTTTTAAGGTTCAACAAGTTTTTTTAATGGAGACGCAACTATACTAGTAAAGTCGTGAGAGACGGTAAAAAATCGTATTTGACTTTTTCGCCACTTATGTCCGGCGATCGCCGATATTACCGATAATTTCAAATAAATTCGGCATAAATTCCTTCTAGACATTGGTTCGTATGCATAAACCCTTTCTTTCTTCTTAAACTTTCATACCATTCACCAAAATTTATTTGAACAAATTGAGTGAAAGATCTTAAGTTTTAAGAAAAAGCATTTGCTTAACTTTTATGCATACGGATAATTATTCAAACAAATTCTAAAGCAAAATCAAAAATCAAAAATACAAACCAAATTAATTTGGTTTATTTGCAGGGAAAAAACAACTTTACCTTTACTCTTACTTACAGAATCCAGAAAATAATTATCGCATTCTTATGCACAAAATAGGCATCGAGTAAGAATCTTATTTGTACCAATTAGTATTTGCGCAAATATTTGTGTGGTGTATTTTGCGCATTACTCCTATGAGTATAACTCCATAACAAGCTTTTCAGGCGTTCAGCGCTTTTAAGGCTTTCAGCAATAGCTGGATTGTGTAGCTGAAAGCCTCTAAAGCTTGTTGTGGAGTTGTACTCTAACCCACCACCAGCTTCAAGATTCAAGTTTTGTTATTCGAGAAGCCACTGTGCTTGTAAAGTCGTGATAGACGGTAAAAAAAACCGTATTGGACTTTTTCGCTGGAAAAAATATTCACCCAAAATATTTAGATACAGTTTTTTGCATAATAATTAGACTAAATTTTAAAGACATTTAATTTACTTCATTCGATATGAAATTAATTTCATAAAACCATGAATAATGAAGCCATGCCTAAAACAATCAACAATTTTCCCCATGTACCAGTTTCATTCATAATTTTCGTTCGTTGCAGCTGGCAATGCTGTCGTGCGCTCATCGCTCTCCCAATTGGAAATCAAATCTCAACGAATACACACAACGAAATTTACGTTTGCTTTATGCAGTCTGCCATCTTTGATTTTCACAGTCTGCGGACGAACGTGTCGATTTTTTAAGTGTAGAAATGTTTGATAGGCACAGATTTTCAGCAATTTGAATAACTGAATTTTAAAAGTGTAGAGTATTTGCCGAAACATGCACTTATGAAAAATTGTATATCGTTTTTTGCAGTGCGATAGTTGTTTACATGAGTTCTTTTCTGCTGCCGTGGTAATCAATTTCCAATTGAATACAACCTGCTGGTAAAGGAAAGAAAATAAAAAGCTGGTTAAATGAGATGAATTGCGAATATATAAACTGAGATTTGATTGACCAAGTCCCTGAAATATAGCGAAATTTAAGGAAGTAACTTTGGTCCTTTGTTGGTTTCTTAGCAAAAATGGATATGAGTAAGTGCACCTACATACATATGTATGTACTTGTAGTTGGATGCTGGCAATTGTGTCGCACGCAGATGTAAGTGAAGCCATAAGGATTTCTTTAAATATGGAATTATAAAAAAAGGTTCACGTGCCCTTGTCGGCTTTGCATTTACATATTTGTTGTACCAATTTTTTCATCTTTCACCAGAGTTGCCAACATTACACGGCTACAACTTGTTTTGTTTACATCTTTGTTTGCGCTAAATATACGTTTTTCCAGTTGCAACAAAGGCAGCACCCGATTCGCCTCCCAACTCGTCAAGCCCCAGCACATCTACAGCTCAACCATCTGCTACTGCTACTGGCACTAAATCAGCGATGCTGGTGCATCTGACCACCGATGGTGTTCCCAAATTGCACTGTCCTATTTGCGACAAGGCGCTAGTATCCCTCAGTGGTTATGTAAAGCATGTAAAGAAACATGAGCCACCAGGTGGCTTCATCTGCCGTTATTGCGATGGACGTTTCTGCTCCGATGATGAATTGAAAAAGCATCGCGCTGAAGTACATACAACGATTATATGCCGTCTCTGTACTGAAGTGACATTTACCAACGAAAATGACTATCGCGAACATATACGCATTTTGCACGATGGCATCGACAGAGAAATGTTCAAGTGTGACAAATGTGGTGCAGTATATAAAACGCTGTATCCATTCAAACGCCACATGGAGACAGAATGTGGTACAATCAAACCGTACAAGTGTGAACAATGTTCGATGAGTTTTGTAACCAAATACAATCTCAAGCAACACAAGGTGTTACATACGGGTGAGCGTAAATATTGCTGTAGCTATTGTGGCAAGAACTTTTTACAAAAAGGACGACTTGTCGAACACGAGCGTTCGCACACTGGCGAAAAACCACATAAATGTGATGTAAGAAAGCAGTTTAAGTTGCGAAGCAAAGTTTTTAATAACCCCCTTTTTTCTAGGTCTGTGGCAAATGTTTTGCACATCGCGAGAGCATTGTTACGCATTCCTCGATACATACGGGCATTCGTTTAGTGGAGTGTAAATGTTGCCTTACACGTTTCTCATGTCATTCGAATTTAATCAAACATCGACGTACACGCCCCGACACATGCGGATTACCGGAATTCGATCCTCCTAAGCAACGTTTGCGGACACATTGCCTAAGAAGTAGGTGCATTAAAAGTTGCATAGTTTGGGCTACGTCTCGAATGCATTATTTGAGATTTAACCAAAAATGTGATTAATAATTCAAATCTCTTTGCAGTACCGCCAACTCTTAATCCTACCTCGGAAATAAAAGTAAGCAATTCTAACCGTGTAATCAAACCGGACCATAAGGCGCAATTGCGCAAACGGCCTAAAAAAGAGCTTAAAAAAGTTCAACGGACAAAATCAACAGCACGTAAAAGTACTGCTACAGGGCCCGGAGCTATAACAGAAGAAAGAGTTACAAATTTAATAGATGGTTTGGGCGGTGTTACAAAGTTAGAAAAGGAATCGAGCAAATATGCTTCGGACTCTGACGAAGATTATCCAGGCTTCGATCCAGCCGATAGTGACAGCGAGTATGAGTATAAAGCTGATGTAAAGTCATCACTTACGAAAGAGGCGAGCATAAAAGAAGAGAATGGCATACAAATAGTCAACGAAATAGACGACGAGCACTCATTTGAAGACGACGAACTTGAATTCATTGATTCTCGACGATTTGTTGATGGCGAACTCGGCATAAAATCAGAGAACGACGATAAGGTTAAACTACTCGATTGTTTATTGAATGACGATGTTGTAAAGAATGGTTCAACGCGTAGAATAACGAAAACGGAGCCAGCTAGTCTACAAGAGACTGAACTGGTTTTTGTCAAAAATGAGAACGATGTCAATTATGCAGAGGAGGAGGATATTTTAAATATTGATCATGTGAGTTTTGTAAAAAAAAATTATTGTACATTTGAAATAATATTTTAAATGTAATACATACATATGTATGTATAATTTACAGCCTGACAATTCAATGATACCGCCATGTAAAATCACGCTCATAGACGTTTGTCAACGCTATCCAGCTCTTAAAGGCGATTCAAGCGTGATAGTTGCACGAAATGCCGCATCCTTCCCCCGTCCGAAGAAACGATCTTCTGCTAAAGGCCGGAATATGCGTTTAGACGTCGACGATCGGGTGAAGGTACCAAAAGCGAAAATACGCCAGTCCATTGAAAATAATAAACCAACGAATTCCGAAACCGATGAAAATGCAGAACACGCGTTCACTGGTGGTGTTGGTGAGGAAAAAGGAGAGATGCCCTTTTTTGGTGATGATGGCCAGGAAAATCTACAAAATGGTGAGATTGGCGAAGAAAACTTAGAAAACGTTTATTTTAGTGATGAAGGTGATGCAAAAGAAGAAATTATGTCTCTTGGAGTTGATGATGCATATGTTGGTAATAGTAGTGTAAATGATGAAGAAGATATGCTGCAAGAAATCAATTCCCAATTGAGCCTCCATGAACACAAAGAGCAAGATATAAAGAAGCAAAAGCGTGGACGCAAACGACGCAAATTATCAAAAAATACTACTGTATCGAATTCTGCCGATGAAAATGGAGAAACCCAGGGCAAAATACGTAAATCAGGGCGCATGGCTAAATTGTCTCAGAAAGAATTAAAAGCGCGCTTAAAACAGACAAAGCGTGCAGAAAAGCCTTGGCAATGCCCTTACTGCATAAAAGTATATCACATACGCAAACCATTTGAAAATCATTTACGCGTCGATCATAAACGGCCGGAAGAAGAACTTAAGGAAATGTTTAAATCTGAAGAAGCAGTAATAGATGACGGAGAAGTTTTTAAGTGCCATATATGCCACAAAATATATTTGATGGAAAAGCGTTTGACTAACCATATAGAAATGCATGGTATAATTATATATATATATCTATATTTTCATTTTAGGATCATTAATTGATTTTACTGATTTTTGATAGGTCCTGATGGCAGCTTGACCTTTAAATGCCCCTGTTATTGTTCGCTATATTTCGCTACAAAAGAGGATGCAACAGCACATGCGCGCAAAGAGCATCGCGATTTGATTTATTGTAATATTTGCGAAAAATATATGACTGGACATGATTCGCTTAAAAATCACATGCGAAAACATGAGCAGGAGAAGGATAGCAAGTCTTTATCGAAACGAAATTTCGTGTGTGATAAATGTGGAAAGAAATTTTCTGGGCGCACGTCCCTAACTGATCACGTACGCTCTGATTGTGGACGCAAACCACTTTATGAGTGCAATATATGTGGCAAGAATTTAACAACCGCGGGTATATTAAAAACTCACCTGCTGCTGCATAAAGATGACACCCCCTATCAGTGCGATAAATGCGGCAAGACATTCAAAGTAAAAGCTCAATACAAGACGCATTTAAAAACGCGGCACACCGATTATAAGCCTTTCACGTGTCATGTGAGTACTTTGGATGTGAAATTCATCATTTATTTTTTAATGAATATCTCACTTTCTATCATTTAGTTATGCCCCAGAGCATATCCCTACCGCGAGTCGCTGCTCACTCATATGACCGTGCACACGGGCATCAAACGTTTCCTCTGCAATGGGTGCGGCAAGCGCTTCACTTGCGTCTCTAATTTGCAAGCACATCGAAAGGTGCATTCAGAAACGTGTGGTCAACTTCCATTAAACGCGAAGGCAACACAGTATATGGGCGTACAAAAGGGAAATCTATTATTGGGCGCAAAACCGGAAGCCGGTGTTGATTATAAGGAAACCAACACGCTGCTAGCAAAAGAAGTAATTGATCGCGATCGGCCAATTACACAGGAAATTAATTATCCCTCAGAACCATCAGCGCCTTTGGCAACTGTGCCACTGAACTACACTCAGTCTACAACACATTTGTTGCTGCCGCAAGTTGTATCACACTACACATGAGATGTCATCAACGGCAACAGCATGTCCTTGATAGAGTAAAATAGTGTATTAAATTAACTAAAAACAAAATGTCTACTATCGATTACTCAGTTTCTTTTAAAGAGCAGTTCATTTATTTGCATTAAGCATAAAATAAGACTTATCGATATATTTCTAAAAATTTAATAAGTCATGATTTCAGTTATAAACACCATTTAAAATCTAAATTTAAAAAAAGTGTATGTAGAAATACTCTTTTATATACAAATAAAGCATTGAAAGTAGTTTTAAATACAACTTTGAATGAATATATTGCATCACCGTGGGAAATTTGTTGCTGTTAACATTAGCAAACTACAAGGCCACTGCGATCTCGTGATGATTGAAGCTAGGCCAAGTAGCATTACCTTAGTACAACTTAAAATAACATACGGTTTAGGAGCAAACGAAATAAATGTGCGTAAATTTTTGTGAAATAATTGTATTTTAATAAATTGCTCGTTAAAATTTTTTTTTAATGCAATCAGGCAGTTTATGCAAGTTAACTCTTAGTAAATTCCAACCGCGTTCAATTTGAATTTAAAGTGACTTTGGTTAAAATTCACTAGGAAGAGCAGAACCTGCCTGAATATGATTAATTTCATTTCTTAAGCCTAACCTTACAAATTCCTTAGGTAATAAAATGTGTTTTTTTTTTTCTTTTAATTTAAACGCTATCAATTCAATCGAAAATATGGTTTTTGAAATTTCCCAATAGGCATACGACCACGTTGCCTCAAGCGCCTCACAGCTTCTCGCAAGTATTTAGGTTGCAACGCGCCCGTCTCTCCAGCAGCTTCCATTACATCGAGTGCTACACAACACCAAAATATGTATGTACATATGTATTTGAATCAAAACTTTCCTTATAATACATACCTTCTTCGACAATTTCACCTACAAACACTTTGGCTATACCCGACATAGCAATCACAACATTTTGTGATACCGAGCAACCGGTTATGGTTTGCATTAGCCGCTTCACGGCGGCTTTGGGAAAGGCCGAACGTCTATACATTTCGTAGCGGTCGAGTTGCTCTTCTGTGAAGTTCGAAACCAGTACTCTGGAATATTATCCTTTAGGTTAGTTTTTCAATACATATTCTAAATACTTCATACATACTGCATCTTCTCGCGCTCCTCCTCTTCCATTTCTTTTTTAGTCTTTTGTTTTTTGGATGGCAAATCGTCGCTCAAGTCCACACCCTCCATTTTCGAATCCTTGATGTCCAAGCCGAGCTCCTCACGCATGCGTGCCTTGCTAGCACCTTCATCGCCAGAATGATCACTGTTTGTATTAGCATCACCAACGCCTTCACCAGGACGATCACTTGCTTCATTAGCGTTCCTTGCCTTGTCGAATAGCTTTAAATCTACTTCATCATGCTCTGAAGGATTTTCTGAACTTGATGTTGTTGAAAGCAAAATTTCATCCATGGTTTCTAATTATTTTCTAATAAATAATTTAATTGGTTTATAAATAGCTTATCCAAGTTTATTGTTTTCTGTTTTGTTTAAGATCAGCTGTTTTCTATTTTTCTTCTGACCTCTTTCTCGCATACAGAGTTGCACATTTTAAACTTTTAGCCAGTTTTTCAGTGCTGGTTTAAACTCAAGGGTCATTCCTTACCTTTTTGGACTAAAATCTGAAAAGTGTCAAAATGGCAGAGCGTAAGCAAAATGCGCTCACTAAAAGAGAATAACAGGAAAAGTAGGAAAAGTAGAGTAACAGTAAAGGATCGCAAAAAACCAAATTTTTAGTCCAAAGAATGACAACAACAAAGCTAACGTCAAATAAGAATGGAAATGTATGTACAAAACACATTCACACAAGCACAAGCACAATAAACACTTACTATATCAATTATTTTTTTGCCTGCTTCCAATTTCAATTCACTTTTTTTACTTTTTAGATTATTCTCACTTTTTGCGTATTCTTTAATTTCCATTAATTTAAATTCAGTTGAGTTTGACACTTTTCAGGATTTTACCAGAAAAAATTCTTCTGATTAAATCTGGCTACTGACTACACTGAGTGTTACCCTCTCATTTTTGCTGTCATTTCCAAATTAAGGAACGCTTTTTGGACTAAATCTGCCTACTTCGGACTTTTTCTGACTATTTCTGGGAGATAAGGAACGCTCCTTCAGTTTATTATTTATTTATTGTTTTATTAGTGGTATTCATCTAAACCGATAACTTTATCAAGCAGATAATAGCTGCGTTTTCGTATTCTCCAGCAAAAATATCCAGTAACTTGCCAGTAACCAAATTTCGGAGAGTAAGTGAATATTTACCCCCAATGAGTGAAATAGGCAAGAAAGTACAAAAACGCAAAACCAGCAAAAAGCTGCTAGTTTTATGAACAGCTGATTAATTTGTTATTTTCCGATGCAATTTTCTTAGAAAACTAGTATTTTCCATCTTATTATATATTTAAATGGGTTTATTTTTTCAATTGCAACTCTAAAAGCATCACAAACAATTATTTTGTTATTGTGAATTACATTAAGCATCATGACATCAGCTGTTTTTCTTACTAGCAAATAGTTGCTAGTAAAAATTAATCCAGTAAAAATCCAGTAAAACTTGCAAGTTCACCTGTCATCTTTGCTCTCTCAATTTCCCCTCTTGCTAGTTTCTTGCAAGAATGATAGAATACAAGATTGCGCCGATCAGAGAGGATTTTTGAGAATAAATTTTCTGTGACGTCACACTGGTGCAATTGCGAGAGAGAAATGCCAAAACGTAAGCAAGAACGGAAGAAGAAGAAAAAATGTTGCAAGGAAAACGTAAACAAGTTGCACAAGTGTGACGTCATGCAAACAACGATTCTGTCAAATTCGTTAAGAGAGGAATAGCGGTCCGAGATCGGCGCAACCTTTGTATTCTCTCAATCGTGAGTTTCTTGCAAGTTTTTGCGTACGAAAACGATATCCAGTAAAAAAAACCAGTAAAATTAGTACTGGATTTACTGGATAGTGCGTACGCGAACAGGACTAATCTTATAAGTTTACGCACTTCGTTACATGAACGACCCACACCCTCTTTTGGTTTATACTTGCGACAATAGTCGTGTTTTCTTTGGCTATCGAGCTCAGTATCACTAACTTCATACTACCAGCACGAGGCTAAAGAAATTATAGAAACTAACTCACTAAATGGGAAAAAATTATATTTACGAGATTATATCTATTTAAATAAATATACATATAACATAAAGGCGATTAATTTGGGGGAAACTTTCCATTATGGCCGTTTGTTAAAGGTGCGGTGGGTGAAGGGGGAGTGGGCGTGGCACCTCCAGCCGACCTTTTTGAAGAGGGCATGAACCGCCATTGACAAAAATGCAACCCCCGACTACCTAGGCCCCCTATGGTTCCCTACGGACCCCTTAGAAAAATGGCCAAAAAATCGCAATTTTTACTTGCGTCCACAGTATTTTTGCGTAGAATTCCTTTCTGCGTAGGCGGCCTTCGGCCGCGCTTAGGGATTATAACCCTTACTACGTAGAATTCTCCTTTCTGTGTGACCTAACTGGGGCTAACGCCCCAGTGATGTAACCTTGGGAAAGGATGAGGTAACTAGAATTCCCTTTCTGTGTGGTAAACCTGGGGCTGCCGCCCCAGTGATTTCTATTTTGGTTACTGGGTGTTTTATAAAAATGTCTTGTATATAAAAATGTGTATATAACAAGTAAGAAAGTCTAAGTTCGGGCGGGGCCGAACATTAAATACCCGGCGCAAGTATTACATATATGGCTTTTCAACTTTCCGAAAGCTACCGCTACATGGTAAGCCGGGGTGTATCAATTTTGAATAAATTAGCGTCCTTAAATTTCGAAATATTGACGTTTCAAGCATTTCTAAAATTTACCGTTATATGAAAAGCCGTAATTTTAGTCCAATTTCAATAATTTTGAACGTTTTGCTTTTATGTGGCAAGCACAGTAACCATACCGAGTTTGGTACAAATTGGTGGAACGGTTACCGAGATACATATATGTGATCATAAGTGGGCGGTGCCACGCCCATTTTCCAAAATGTTATGATAAGCGTATTTTCTGGTAAAGAATTGTTGCAAGCATCAATTTTGAATAAATTAGCTTTAATATTTACTCATTTATCGAAGATTTCGTATATCTCCAAATTACCGTTATATGGGATGTGGGCGTGGTTATTGTCCGATTTTTAAAATTTTCGGCCATTTGGTATCCTGTACCAAGGCCAATAACTGTGCCAAGTTTGGAAGAAATCGGTGCAGCGGTTGCCAAGATATACACATGTAACCATAAGTGGGCGTGGCTACTCCCATTTTTCAAAAATTTATAATATTCTTATTTTTCGTCTAAAAGTTATTGCAAATATCAATTTTGAGTGAATAATCTTCAGTAGTTACTAAAATATCGCAGTTTTCGTATTTCTGAAAATTACCGTTATATGGGAGGTAGGCGTGGTTATTGTCCGATTTTGCCCATTTTCAATACCTTCCGTCCTACGCCCGAAAGAAGTACACGTACCAAGTTTCGTTAAGATATCTTAATTTTTACTCGAGTTATCGTGTGCACAGACGGAAGGACAGACGGACGGACGGACGGACGGACAGACAGTCACCGCTTAATCGATTTCTCTTTTCATCCTGATCATTTATGTATACATTTGTCTATATCTATCTCGATTCTTTTGCCTGTTACAAACAACCGTTATGTGAACAAAGTTATAATACCCTTGTGCACAAGTGCGCTCGGGTATAAAAATGTATTGTGCAAATCAATATTTAACCTTTTTTCAAGCGAATAAGCGCAAATGAAAATTGTGATTTTTGGCAATTTTTCTTAGGGGTCCCTAGGGAACCATAGGAGACCTAGGTGGTCGGGGTTGCATTTTTGTCAATGGCGGTTCCTTCCCTCTCCAAAAAGGTGGGTTAGAGGTGCCACGCATACTTACCTTTCGCCCACCGCCCCTTTAACGAACGGCCGTAAAGGAAAGCCAACCCTTAATTTGAACCAAGTTAGAAGAAACAATGGCAGAATGTCTGTTTGTGTATGAGTTCATTTGTCACGGCTACCAAACTTTGCGGCCAAATTATCAGTGAAACAAAACAAACAGAACGGATAATAATTGAACCAGATCTCTATCAAGCTGAAATTAGTCAAGAACGTAAACCTACCGGTACGTAAACCCGAGTCAGCTGACACGATCTGTCTTACCAGAGCGCCCTGTAAATGAAAACTCAACACCGCAGAATTTTTCTATAGTTGTAGCCCGTAGCGCAGAAATCTGCGGAATTTAGATTTTTCCGTGTCAGCTGATTTCTTTCTTCTATAGATAGTTGCCACTTCGTCAGTTTCGCAAATGGTAAAAAATGTATAATTTCCTATTCAAAATACGTTTAAAATATTTGAAATTTACTATTGAATAAAGTTTTTTGTTGAAAACTAAGTAGTTTATATTTAGCTACGGGTTATTATAGCACGAAAAATTGTAGTTGAAAAGGTAAGTTTATGAAAAGGCATTGATGAGTGCCAACACTGTAGTAAGCAACACCGAGCGCGTATTCGACAAAATTCTGCGTATACAGACTGCGTTTAAGTATACGTTCTGCGCATCGGCGTAGCCAGAATGAAATTTAGGGGGGGCCCGATCCTATTAAGCTGGGTACTATTTTATATATATATAAAGAAATTTGAAAGTTAGGGGGGGAGGCTCGAGCACCCCCCCAGCCCCTACCTGGCTACGCCCATGGTTCTGCGTTCTTGACTAATTTCAGCTTCAGGATCATATCATTGTTGTTGAATTTGCGTGCAAAATTTTAATGCGGATCCCGATTATTGCTCAAGAAAACATAGTGTGGCGAATACTGCGGCAATACAAAGCGAACAAAGCGAACAACGAGAAATAGGTAGAATGTTCGAGGAATGACGTAGAATGTTCCACAAAGAGAAACGTCAAGTTGGATGAACATTGCAAACAGCGAGAGAAATAGAATGAGCGATGAGCTTCAGAACGTTCGAGAGTTGCCAGGAGTGCGAGCGCAGTATATAAGAGCCACGACACAGCGGAGTTGGGGAGTTACAAGTCAGCAAGCTACACGTAAAGCGAGCAGAGGAGTGAGTTGCGAATAAGCAAGCTATAAGTTTAATTGTGTTAACAAGTTTAGTAAAGCGTTGTTATTGCTTTAACAAGTATTGCAAAGTGTTTTTACTGTATTAGCGAGTATTGTAAATTGTTTGTTGTACAATAACGTGGATTGTACAAGAATTTGGTCATCGTTAGCATTTATTTAACAATCCAGCGATATGAGCCGTAAGTATTGGGGAATCCCCCAAGAATGATAGAATACAAGATTGCGCCGTCCTGGCCGTTGACATTTGTGTACCACAAGTAAACAAAGAATAGAGCGAAAAGAAGAACGAGTTGAAACTGCCAAAGCAGTTCACTTTACAGCGAAAAACGTGTTTGAATTTTGCTAAATGTGAAAATATTGCATTTTTCACCTAATCTATTAAAGAATAGTGAACATTTTAGTGCACTCCATTGCTTTGCAATTAAGGCTGCTGCAGAAAACTGCAGCAGCATCTCTGCGGGATTGATTAGTTAACTTGCTAATGGAAGCTGCGTGGATCAGAAACAAAATCCTTGTGAGGAAATGCTGTTAATATAATAATAGAGAAACATTTCGGGAACGGCTTTGCCGTGCCCTATGTACACAAAATGCAGCGATTCGTCTCAGCGCTACACTTGCATCTACGCTTCTTGCATCTTGACGGCTGTCGCAATATAACACACAGCACTTCATTGAATTAGTTTTTAAGCAGTCTTCAACTAAAAAATCACTCGCAAATTGCAAATTAACACAATTTAAACTGATTTTTCACTTATAATTAAATTTCTCTTTAGCTGATTTGTAAACAAAGGTTTATTTACAAGTTACCACAACTGTCAAAATCGGCAAAACCAAAGTAGCGGTACCACTGACGGCGCCACCTTTGTTCGCTGCACCGTGGGAATCCCCACGATTGAGAGAAATATTAGCTCTGATCCAATATTTTTCGTGAAAAATCCTGTAAAACTGTCAAACAGCTAAATTACTCTCTGAAGTGAGAGTAAAAAGTGAGTAACAACAAAAAGTACGGGAACAAAAAATCCATTTTTCCTGTAAAAACGTCAACCAGTGATTGCTTGACACTTTTCATGATTTTACCAGAAGAAAAAGTTCGGGTAAAATCTTGCAACTTCATTCTCTACACTACTCTCCAAAAGCCGCTCTCATTTACAGGATTTTGGAGTACGGGTACATTTTTCCTGCAACTTCCTGCAAGTTCGTGTAAAATCCTGTAAGTTCATGGAGTACTGGATCAGAGCTATTCTAGAGAAGTATTCTATCATTCTTGGGAAACCCCAAATTTGGGTTTCAACGCTAATCGTAACACCCGAAGTACATGATTCAAGTACTTGAAAGCAATTCTTGCTCATTCTATTTTGTGTTTTCTATTTGCTTTTACACGTTTCAATTCTGTTGAATTCGAGTTTTTGGTTCTTTAAATAGGAAACAAAGAAAATGCCAAAAGCACAGCAAGAAAGTTGAAACGACTTGACGGTACAGACGCATGTGTACTCGTCCCTTTTCTTCTCAGGCCCCCTCTTCCACTTGCTAGCAGAATTGAATTCAATACTTGAACTGTGTAAAAGCAGCCTTAGCAAATTTTAAAATTTTGAAATTCCATCCCTGTTATGAAGAGACAACACTGACAGATGTCAAATACTTTTTTGCACGCCTTCTTTCTCTCTGCGTATTCTTGTGCTCTGACAACTGCCTCGTGTTTTTGTCTCCCCTTTTTCGGCAAGAGTCATCAAGCACAGAAGATTTTTTAGCATTTTTCGCAAAGTTAATTTAAAAACCAGAAATTCTCAAGTTATATTAGGACGCTAGTGTACAAAAAAATGTCGGTCGAAGTAACCAAAGTGGAGACAAACGTAAATGCAGAAGAGGGTGTTGAAAATGCCGCACCAGTCGATGCTGCAGAAGCTTCCGCAAATGGCGAAGAGGTCAAAAAACAAAAGAAGCCCAAGCCAAATAATAAGAAACTGAGACAAGGTAAGATATTCCTTTTTTCAAAGTGCATTGACATCTACTAAGTAGATCACTTAACCTTAATGTAATTAATGCTCTCGTAACCCCCAGCGGAGGCCGCTGCCAAAAAGGCAATTGAAGGTGTTGATAGTGGGAGTGCCGAAATAGAAAATGCTGTTAGTAACGGTGAGCCGAACAGTGCGGCCGAGCCACTAACTAACTTATCGGATAGCGACAAAAAAGCAGCTGCCAAGAAAAAGAATAAAAACAAAAATAAAGGTGGTAGTAAGAAAGGCCAAACGGATCCACCCAGCATACCTATTGCGGAGCTCTTCCCTGATGGACAATTCCCAGAGGGTGAGATATTACAACACCCCATACCAAAAGATCTTCCAGATGATCGTACTGCCAAAGATCGTTTTACGTCGGAAGAAAAACGCGCTTTAGATCGCATGCATACAGATATCTACCAGGAGTTGCGTCAGGCTGCAGAAGCACACAGACAAACTAGACAGTATATGCAAGGTTACATTAAACCGGGCATGACAATGATACAGATTTGTGAAGAATTAGAAAATACAGCACGACGTTTGATTGGAGAAAATGGTCTGGAGGCCGGTCTGGCCTTTCCGACAGGTTGTTCCTTGAATCACTGTGCTGCACATTATACACCAAATGCTGGTGATACGACTGTTTTGCAGTATGATGATGTATGCAAAATTGACTTTGGCACACACATCAAGGGGCGCATCATTGATTGTGCTTTTACATTGACCTTTAACAATAAGTACGACAAACTTTTGCAAGCGGTTAAAGAAGCCACTAACACAGGTATTAAGGAAGCTGGTATTGACGTGCGTCTATGCGATATCGGCGCCGCCATACAAGAAGTTATGGAATCATATGAACTGGAATTGGATGGCAAAACGTACCCAATAAAGTCGATACGTAATCTGAATGGTCATTCCATCAGTCCATATCGTGAGTTCCAGGCAATTGTTTTGTGCTTTCCTTTGACACCAAAACAAAAAACAACTAATATATTTTTATTTTATACAGGTATTCACTCTGGCAAAACTGTTCCAATTGTGAAGGGTGGCGAGTCAACGCGTATGGAAGAAAATGAGTTTTATGCCATTGAGACTTTTGGTTCTACTGGACGTGGTCTCGTGCATGATGATATGGATTGCTCGCATTACATGAAAAATTTCGATGCACCGTTTGTGCCTTTGCGCTTGCAATCATCTAAACAACTACTTGGCACCATTAACAAACATTTCGGCACTTTGGCATTTTGTAAACGTTGGTTGGATCGCGCCGGCGCTACCAAATATCAGATGGCGCTGAAAGATCTTTGCGACAAAGGTGTGGTGGAAGCGTACCCACCGCTATGCGATATCAAAGGTTGCTACACAGCCCAATATGAGCATACAATTATGCTGCGTCCTACTTGTAAAGAGATTGTTTCGCGTGGCGAAGATTATTAGTACACGCAAAATAAAGAATGCAGAAGAACTATTGTCGCGGTATTGCAAGAGCGCAAAAGAACTCTAGTTTAAAAGGGTTACGGAGGCAAATTGCAGACGTGCTTTTTAAATCGCAACATAATCAATAACTTTATTTGTTTTCGTAATTTAATTTGATCTAATTGCTCACGGAAACTTATTTTCTTAAAAACTTACCAAATTGTTTAAACAAAATTTCCTTAAATATAGTGTGTAACACATGCAATGCTAAGTCTTGAGCGGCGTTTAAATTTATAAGGTACATACAAACATACGGAACAAATTTCTTACATTAATAAAAATTGTTAAATTTTGGGGAAAAAATCAATTGTGGTATATGTCGATATATTAATCTCACACAAATATTGGTAGTTTCGATTTAACAAATGTTTATATCTGCTTCTCAGAACTCAGTTTTATAATAATATTTACTGCATTGAATTTAATGTATAAGTAAAATAAAAGCATGTTTATCAAAAATCCAAATGAAAAATTATATTAAAAATTGAAGCGTTCATTTATCTTAATGTGCATACATATGTATTTATGTAGATCACCTTGGGTTCGAATTGCGCCATTCTCGATCAAATTATTTATTACTCTTCGAATCGAATTGAATAAAATGACAAATGTTTTCTCCCAAATACAATTTAAATTGACGAAGCGCACTCGCTAACGAATACGGCGATCTAATTTCAGTTCAAGTTGCGTTCGATATCGAATGTCAATTCGGACTTTCATTATGTACGACGTTCATTTCCAGTTGACCAAAGTATCCTTCTATTGTCTTGACGGACGCAAAATTACCATTTGTGGGAAGATTACTGATCCTTTGAGAGCATGCGCACACCACCGCCCTAGGTTTATTGAACTACGCTGTGTCAATGAGGATGCCAAGAACCACAATTACACAGTGGAGACAATTACAAACTTCGAGGAACGCAGCTCCCCGTACAGCTATATGTTGGCAACTCTTGGCTGGCCATTACCGTTGCGACGACACAAGAAGGCAACTTTTCGTTTGGAAGGGCGACGCTAAGGCTTCTGCTGGCACTCTATTTTCGAAGGATTAGCATGTTAAGAGGTGATTGGCGATTCTCCACATGCCGGACACTCATTGGGGATATTGGGGTCGAGTCTGGACAGGTAGCTGTTAAGGCGGCTACAGTTTCCAAACCGTAACTGGGCTAGGGTAACGTGGGTCTCTCTTGGCAGTTAAAACTCCGTGTCTGGCACAGGTGGTGATTGCGCTCCTCCAGTCAGTTCTGTAAGTGTTTGGTGAATACCATGGAATGGAAGGACGCTAAGTCCTTCTGGCCACGGGCAGATCAGAGGCGATTTAAGCAGTTCAAAAAGCGAAACAAGCCGCATCTCTAAAAAATGATCGGAATATTAACTAACCATCATTGTTGATTGTAATGCAAGCGGTAAGGCGCAACATCAATTTAAGCTCTTCCTGTAACAGCTTTGGGTCTCACTTATTTTCCGCTCCTGATTAAGTTTCGGGAATTTAAACCAATCAATATTTTTCTACCCCGAGAAATTGCAAGGAATGCAAAGCTTGATGAACCCGAAACCATCCTACAGCAATAAAAAAAGACTTGGATACCATCCAAAAACGTTAAATTACCCAGTTTGGACTGTAATTTTATGGTTCTAACGGCCGTCCTCTCGAACGCCTGTAAAAATTTAACTTCTCGTTAAACAAATGGAATATTTTGGTCGACTGCCTGCTATATGCCTGCCGGGTAGAGACCGCAGCTGGAAAAAGTTATCTAATCTAGAAGATGGGACGAATTCAGAGCCCACGAAGTGATAGCAAGCGAAGACACTTGAGGCATTGCTACTCCCGCACTTCACATACCACCTGATTCCAGCGAAACATCAGCATGGTCTCCGTAAAGTGCACATCACTACAACAGCGCGTAACGCTATAAGCACTCAAACAACACCCCAGCCAGCAAAGAAACATAGACTTTGCCGACAGTGCAGTTTAGTTCAAATTTCCGTATCCGAAAACGAATAGAAAAACTCCTACAGTTATCATCAATTTTCGTATCCGGAAAACGTTCGAAATGTTCGAAAAAGATGATGTCATTTGAAAGCAATAATTTTATTTTATTTTCTCAAGCTAAACATTTGAAAGCATGCATGCGTAATCGGCAGTGGCTGAGCGTGCAGAGTAGTGTGCCCTATCTGTTAGCGTCCAGAAGGTGCCGGGTTCGAATTCCGTCAGGCGCTTCCTAATTCCATTTTATTTCTTTTGAACCATGAAAAAGTACCTGTGAAGTGTAGAAGGAAAGCATATTGAACGAAAATTTCAATCAGACAAGTTTCAGAAAAAACAGCCGAAATCGTATCCGTTTCACATTCTGCATTCTGCTGCACACGTATGTTGGAAAACGGATCGTCAAAGTTTCCGAAAACGGAATCAGTAAACGGCCAAAAATCCGCACTACATCCACTTTTGTGTCCTTTTTCGGATCGGTTTTCGGATTTTTTGTTCACCGGGTCGTTAACCGTAACCACCTCTGTCCTAGTATCGTTGAAACTTTGAAGGTGTTTAACACCATTTGTCATTCCACGCTACTAGAAGACATCGAGGCTTCCTCTCCCACAGGGACTCAAACGGGGCTCGGCGAATTAAATGATTCGTAAGTAACCTTTCAAGATCAATTTTTGAAGCCTAAAAGAGTTTACCAATGGGTTCCACAGGTGTCTTCTCCCATGGACTCCTTAACCACTATATTTCGAAGCTCACTCTGTCACCGAAGTGAATTTCACTGACGACTTTCGATATTAGTGTCTGGGAATAGAATTAATGACCTTTGCTCAATTGTAAACGGATATCTCTCCAGCCTTTCTCTCTGCTTCACTGCAACAAGCTTACCACTCTCCCCAACCATCTGGACGAAAGAGGTCAGTCTTCAACCAGGCATTCATGTCGATGGCACACCAATACCTACGGTGAATCACCCGAAAATTTTAGCCTGCCTTTCTTCTCTGCTTGCTTTTGCTTGCTGGCAGTACCTTGGGCGAAGACAAAGAAACGTTGCTTGCAACATACAAAGCAAATGGCCGACCGGTTCTGAGCTATTATAACTCAGCTATAATAACTCGACTATCACGAGAGACCTGCGCTACTCTGACCCAATTACAGTCAGGATATTGTAGCGGTTTCATGCGGTAAACCCGAATGTAGATACTGCCGCCACGACGCCAACCACATCTTCACAGTCAACTAACACCGCTCTATCTTTGGTCCGAACTCATCCATACAGCTCGTTTCTTGAGCCTACCGTTAGTTGTGCTTGACGGCGGGGCTTAGTAGTGCCGCTCCACCACAGTGGTTCCATTGATTGATATACACCAATTTAAATACAAATTAATATTTATTAATTAAATATGATTAAAATGACTTCAGTTTAACCCCAAAATTAACAAAAATTAAAAACATAATTATATTCAAGAGTATTATGACCAACAACTTTTTAGCTGTACGAGTCGTACAATATGAAATGAAAGAAAAAAAGACAGATAAGCATTTACAACTATTTACATAGTTAATTTTACAAAAGTGGTTCAAATTTACCCATTTCACTATTTTTCGCACCACCAAAATCAAATGTTGACGAATCATCATCATCATCATCTCCGCCATTATTAACCGCCTGTGGGCCAAAAAAATCATTAAGACTCTCGCCAAGTAATGCCTGATTTGCATCACCAAAACTCATATCAAACTGTAGAAAACTATCTTTTCCGTTCTTAGATGGTGGCATTTGCATTTCAGTTGCCGAGTCGACGCTGCTCTCATTGGAACACATAATCGTCTCGTGAAAGAAGCGCTCAAAATCCAATTCGGTTTTCTTTAGCTTCGGCTTGGGTTCTTCACTTGCTTGCAAGGCTACACTAGCGTTAGCAGCGGTTGACGACGCATTTGTGCCATTTACTTTTCTATCATCTACAGTGGCGGCGAATTTTGTATTACCCTCATTTGATTGCTTTAGAAATTCTCTAAAGAATGTATCACAATCGGGCATTTTTCGTGCCTTACGCTTGGTGGGCTGTGTTGGTGTTTTGAAAACTTTATCCGTTTTCATTTGCGCAGCATTCGCGGCATCCGGTGGGTTGATGGACCGTTGTGCTAGTGTTGATTCTGGTGTAAGTTCGATGGGTAATTTCTGGAAATTAATTTGTTAAAACATTGCTATTAAAACGAGTAATGAAGAAAAAGAAACTCACAGTCGGCAATTTAGTGCCTGCGGGCTTTATAATGCGACATTCTTGTATTTCAATCTTTGGCTTGTCGGCGACGAAGGGCAACGCAGTTTTATTAATCTTTTGAAAGCCCAACAACTTGGCTTTCTTGAGCAGCTTGCTGGCCTTAATGAATTCTGGCTTTTTCGGCTGTGGTCGCCTTACCTCTTCTCTTGTCGGTTGCTCGTTTTCTGCTACTTCGCCAGTACTTAAAATTTCGATTGTCTCAGTATCACCATTGACAAAGAAGTTGCTTTCTCCGAAAGCAATGGTACCGTTTTGCTGTTCCTTGCCCGCTTCGTCAACAACTTTCTCGTCCATTTCGCCATTGAAGAAATTTTCCTCTTCAATAACAAAGGTATCACCATCTTTTCCACTTTCGGACTCCCAAGTCTGACTCTCAGTCGTATTACCATTATAAAAGAAATTGCTCTCTTTCATAACAAATGTTGAACTCTTATCATTTTTGCTCTCTTTTCCACCACATCTCTTGTCCTTCTCAATATCTTTTGCTGGCACAAATGCCTCCTCGCGGTCCTCTACTTCGGGCGTCGCAAAATGTACACGTTTCTTTGGCACTATGTCAACGTTATCTTCATCTTCGGTACTTGGACGCCGCAATATGGATCGTGGCATGGTCTTTGTGACTCCGTTATTGGCCGGTTTTGAATGAGTAGTTGCCAAGGTATCCGCCGCTTCATTCTTGGCGGCTGGTGTAATCTCGGAAAATGCCTTTGTATTAGTGGCTAGAAGTTGCTGGTACTGTAGTTGCCTCTTTGCTTCCCATTCTTTGAAAAGGTCCATGAAGGTTGGCTCCTTGCGCTCCACACTTATAGTCGCATTGCTGACATTTTCCGCGTTGGAAAATGCTTCAAGCTTTTTTGTGGCTGGCGCGTTATTTATTTTAGGCAGCTTTTGCTCCTGACACAACACTACCTCATTAGGGGTGGTAGTACCAGGAAGCTAAAATGTTGAGAAGTATGTAAATAGGGGAAGCAAAATATATTTATTTTCCTCAATTTCACGGTTTTCTGCATACCTTCGTTTCGTGTTTCTGCAGTTTTGCAA